AATTCAAAGATTTATTACTAATTTTAAAAAATTACAATATAAAATTAAATTTTTAAAATATTATCTTATTTTTAACATTTCCACTCTTTTTTTTCTTTCTCATACAGTTCCGCGTACAATTCAATGATACGCTCACCTCCACCTTTGAATATCCCTCTGAGGCATCGCTAATCATTGACGATTCCTACAGCAATGATGCGTTGATAGGCGCCTATGAGAACTTATCATTAAATGATACAACGGATTCTTCACCAGCGCGACACCATCATGTAGCCGTTGATGAGATTATACAACTGCCAACGCCGGCGAATACCTCATCACCCGCCAATAATGCCAGCAGCGCAACAAATACGCCAACGAAAAATATACTGGGGAATTTGCCACTAGGTAAGTGATTCACAGTTCAATGTCTAATTTCTGTACACTTGTCATTAACCATTACACAACTAATAATATTAATAACATACATACGAAGAAGAAAAGGAAAACACGAAAAAATTTTCATTAAATTTGTTGGCTTTTCATATGCAACAATCATTTGCATATTATATGTTTGTTGTTAAATGTTTTTTTTTTGTTGTTTTTTGAATTTTGCCTTAGAAAATTCTACATTTCTATGTTATTGTTTGTTTGTTTGATAATATTATATATGAAAATGTCTCTCTTTAGTTTGTTTGTATCGTCTTTGTTCAACTAAATTTCTTCTTCACATAAATATATTTCTATTTGTTGTTATCATTTCTATTATTCTAATTGTTAAACTGTCTTAATAAGTGTTTGTAGTAATTCTCTACATTTTCGTTTGCATTCTTACCATGGTCTTAGTCTCGTTTGCTGCTCTTTTGCATACTTAAATTGAATTTTCTATGTTTTCTAACAACATCGAGTAAGGACAACTTAAATTTCCTAAAATACAATTACAATCTTACCAACTTCTCCCACAGCTTTCGGTTTTATCTCTATTTTTGTATGTTTTCGTACTCTTCTAACCTAAAATTACTTTTTTGCACTTGTGTACCCCTAGTAACACTAAAACAACACTACTAAAATAAACAAATTTTGAATTTTTTAATATTTTTATTATATAATAATAAACAATACTTTTGAAATTACGCCGCAACACAACAAATAATTGGCGACGAATTCGTTAAACACAGTTGAGTATAGCAAAACAACAACATAAAATTAATTAATTAAACTTAAATTCACAAAAAAAATTAAATATAACACCTAAAATCAAAACGCCCTTAAAAATTTCGTATATAAACAATTTATTATGTAACAAATTGCCATCAGTGTGTCCCAATTTCGGTTAATATTGTAAGCTTTGAGTAAAACTTGCACGCTAAACTTTACGTTTTCAGCAACACTATTTCTTTACTCTCTCTCTTTCTTCAGTTTCAGCCACTTCTGTTACAATTGACAATAATACGCTCAATACTGCTGAGTTACCGCCTTGTCTGCTCGATTGTTTCGATGAGCTCAAACAGTGTAGATTTAGCAAGAAAAAACAGATTTTGAAAATACTAACAACACCATTTCGTAAAATTTTGAAAATTTTAAGGTTGGTGGTATTACCAAAAGTCCCCTTTGTTGCATACAACCTGTTTTGAGTGTTTCCATGAAATGAAATTTTTTTCCAAACACAATTTCCGCTGTCCAAAATCGTTCATTTTTTTGCTAGTTGAAAATATCATTCATTCAATTCCATGAAAAGTATTTTCAGGTCATATTTGTAAAAAAAATATTGGCAGCTCACAATCCTATACAGTTCGAGTGCTGGTAATTTAAATTTTTAGACGTTATAACTGGAGAAAACTTTCAAAATTTCACTCAAGAAAATTTTTTAAAATTGGGAAAAATTTAAATCGGCAACATTTTTTATGAAAGAAAATTTTGATAATGATCTTTCCTCTACGCCCGTCCGCATTTTTTTTCATAATCGCAACTCATTAAATCGTCCGTTCAGACCCTAGATGAATTGTTTTTTTGAAAAAAAAGCATTGGCTTTTTCATTCATGACTCCAACACTAAATATACATATGTATACAGTGGCGGGAGTTTAGAGTGCAACAATCGTTCGGAGATGACTTAAATCTTTTGGGATTCCATATATAATACTCCATTAAGACAACACCCAAAAATGTAGTCACTATGTTGTTCCGATTTCTGAGATAGCCTAATAACGAGTATTTAGTTCAATCGTGGATTTTCGTCGATCTCATTTAGGTACACCGGTTCGACAATAAAGGTTTTGAGTATTCAAATTTCAGTCACCTTTGATCCCAAGCCATGAAAAAAGAGGAAATTTGAAAAATTAAGTTTAAAATCAATATCCACACTGTAGTTCCGATGGCTGAGATAGACAGGATATTGCTAATAGCGAGTATTATACAACTCAATCGTAATACTTCGTTGATTTTACTCAGCAGAAGCTCCCACTTCGACAATCTGGGTTTGAGTATCCAAATTTCAGTCACCTCTGGATACCTGTCATATAATTAACTTAGTGGAATATTAGAATGATATTCCATCTTCAGTCAAGCAAGTCCTTCTATTAAAGAATTAGGTTTTTTGTCGTCGTGATATTATTTTTCAGCGAGAATGTTAAGGAACCCAGGCCGCTTATTTATAAATCTTCTCATGGAAATATAGATCTTAGCGTAGATCGTGCGAAATATCACTATATCGATTAGAAAAATTTTAATTCGACAGAGGTTCAGGCCGAATGCGCTCTTACACATTATTCTAAGCCCTCGTTTAAGAGATCCTTTCATTGTTAGTGTATACAAAAACACAATTCAATGTACATATATCATAGTGTCCCAATAACTATAAATTGAAATTGGCAAATATTTCGCGCTTTAGTACAAAAAGATTCCGCCAAAACTTTTTACACACCCACTCTAAGCGCACTTTTTTCGACTTTGTTTTCAAAATCAGTATACTTTTCTTTCCGAATATTCCTACAAATGCATTTATCTCTTTTCAAAATTTACATAACTGTTCGATTTCATAAGCCAATGAATAGAAAATCGCTCAATACCACAGCCAGTTCTCTCATATTTGCAAAGAAAACAATAGAAAATAGAACAAACAAAAAATGCACAAAATTTTTGCAGATTACCCAATTTTAGACAAGGGTATAATGTCACCACAACAACAGGAGCAGCAGCAACAGCAACCGCCTCAACAACAACTGGAGCAATCGCTGACACTAAGAGAGGCGCAAAATGCCGTGAGCGCTGCAGCACCAGCAGCGCTTTTATCCGCAGAGCCACTGCATTCCAATTCGGTGGAGAAGACTCATTTATTGCAAGCACAGCGCGAAATAGCATGCAACGCCTCACAACAACCAACGCCGTCGCCGCCGCGCGCCGAAAATTCCGACAAGCACGCCGAACCAGTCCAAACTTGCGCAGCTGCGACACGCTTGCCGCCACAGCCGCCGACGTTGCCACAACGACCCACCGATTTGCCGTTGCCAACGCTACTGACGACACTGCCGCAACAGAAAAGCAAACCGGCGCAGTCACAGCTGCGGCCAGTAGCTCAACAGAAACCGCCACTGCCAGTGAAGCGTTTGGAGGGATGCGTAATAATGCAGCAGTCCACACACGCAGCACCGAAGGCAACAAAGGAGGCGGTATCGCCTGCGAGTGCGTTGCCACAATTTAAGTTGGAGGCGGAAATGAAGCAGCAAAAAAACAGAAACACGTCAACGGAAGCAATAAAGAAGAGCGAAGAGCCGCAAACAACAACAGACGACTCGAGCAAAGGGGTAATGCGTAAACAACATGCAAGCGGAAATTGGCAACGTCAGCCAGCAGTGGCTGGAGAGCAGGAGAAGCGGAAAGCGCAGCAGAAAGTGGAGCAAGTAAAGGGGATAGAAACTAATAAATTAGCAGTAGGCGCAGAAGAGTCAGCTATTGCGTTCGATATGCGTGGCGGCGCGCAGCCGAGTCTTTTGCGCGATTTTCAACTGGCAAGTGCAAATGCTTGCGAAATTAATTGCAAAAATATTACTTCTACCGCCTTAAAACGTAATAACACAGCTGCCAACGGCGGCGTCACACGCCACAACACTAACAATTTAGCGTTTGCCAATAAACCAAACATTACAACAACAACCACGAAAAAGCCTATAAGCAAATATACCATGTTCCACACATTATTCGAAACATCGCCCACAGAGGAAGCAGCCGCCAACACTTCCGCCCAACGGCCACGCAAAACGCCCGCGGTGCTCAATAAACCTCAATATGCGCGCTTTTTACAAATCGAACGCGCTGCGGCAACAGCACCTGCAACTGGGCAAGCCATATTGCGCACGCGCAGCAATGAGTTCCGTTGTGGCGGCGGTGTCAACCTCAAGCAGCGCGGCGGCAGTCCCGCATCCAGGCAACACGTGTCACCTTCTGCAACGCAGCAACAACGCAGCGCTTCATTCTCTTTTGGTAACAATGCTGGTGGTGAACGCGCTGAGTGCGCCACCGCAAATGTGTCTCCGTCCCCTATGCCCGCTAATGTAGTTATCGCAAATAGCAAGGCCAGTGCTGCCACTGCAGTAAATAAGTGTAAAAAAGAAATGCTAAAAAGTATCGGTAATAGTTGGAACGGTACCTCGACCGACGATGAGTGCTTCGAGGATGCGATAGACTATTTCTATCCCATACCCACAATCACGCTAGCCGAGGCTAGTTGCTATGAAAATACCAATAGCACGCAAGCAAATAGTATTCAACACACAGAGAGCCAAAACAATACCACAACAACAGCAACAATAACTACAACAATTAACAACCAAGACAGCGCAAGCTCCGTTGCGCTGCCGTCCACGTTGCACACGCGCACAGTTTGCACCAACACCAAAAACAAGAACAACACAACTATTACTACAACTACTATCGCACCTACAACTATAACACCAACAATAACAACACTAATAAGCAATACTTGCACCCAAACCACACTTAACGAACAACCAATTATTAGCAACCAAACTACTAATACTAGTCTCACTTCTTCTTCGCACACTTCAACTTCTTCAACCACTTTCTATTCTTATTCATCATTTTCCGCAGCGAATTGCACGCGTCACAATAGCTTTGCAGCTGCCAACATAAATTATAAAACTGCTGGCAATGCTCAACACAGTACTGCCAAGTATTTGCGTCCGACACCATTTAAGGCCAACCAAAACCTGTGCAACAACAATGCTAGCGCAAACGCATCCAAAACGGTCGTCAACTATAATTCTGCCAATGCCAACTTGCCGCCATCACCAGCGGCATCGGGCGCACTTAGCTCACCATTCTCCCTGCCAGTTGCTTCTACCACTTTGCTGCGTTCGCGCATACCCGGCAACACCCTGTACTATGTTTGAGTTCGTGTGTGTGCGCCCAACTGTCTGTCAGCCTGTCAGCCTGCTTTGTAAATTGTTTACTCGTGAAAAATAATGTGTAATGTGTGTTTTCTTCCTTTTCAGTTTTCTTGATTTCTTTTAATATTTGCTATACAATTTCCATGCGCTTTAGTGTAGAAAGCTTTTGGGTAATATTTATCGACTTGAGAGATATCGATTGCGAAATATTGTGCTAAGTAGTTATTAGAGTTAACGGTTAATTTATTTTGAAATATTAAATTTTCTATTTTTAATTCCAGTTTTCAGATTGAATTTTTAATTTTTAATTCGAATTTTGTGAACAAAAATTTAGTTTTCAAAGAAAAATATATTTTAAAATTTCAAAAAGAAAAATATAATGAAATCATATTTGAAAATCGGAATTATAAATTGAAAATTTTTTTTTAATAAACTTTTACATAAAAATTTGTATATTTCATTTTCAAAAGAAAAAGATTTATCTAAATTTTCAAAATTTTTTAATTTAAAATTTGATTTTCAAAAAAATTATCTATTTATAGTTCCGATTTTTAAAAATAGATTTTTGTTTTGAAAATTTAAAATTAATTTTGTTTTGAAAATTTAAATTAAAAATTGAATATTAAATCCCAAAACTTATAATTAGTTTTCAAATTTCAATTTCAAAAAAAATTCAATACATGATTCCTATTTAAAAATTGATATTTTTTTAAATTTAAAATTGGTTTAATATTTGACCCCAAAATATTAGATTAAAAATTAAATTTAAAAAAAATATTAAATTCGTAATCTAAAAAAATATTAAAAATTAAGTTTTCATAAAATATTCAAAAGAAATTCAATTTTTAATTGAAAAAATAAATGTAAATAAATTGAAAATTTCTAACTTTTTTATATGATATTTATTACTTTTGTGTTAAAAAAATTCAGTAACCAGGAAAAAATATTTATCAGATTAAAATCTGGCAAGAATAAGGTTAAAATTGAAAGTTTTACATATTTATACCTGAAATACTACGTACATATGTATTATATACATATATGTAGGTTGCGTGTTGCTTAGTTCGTGTTGCGGTGCAGTGACGTAGGCGGTAAATACAATGCACATGAAAATTTAGATAAAGTTACAGTATACATACCTACTTCTACGTATAGAAATGTATGTACATATGTATATGTAAATCAAAGCAATTTAATATAAATTGGACAAAACGTGTTGAAGTAGTTGATTATAATTTGACAAAAATTCCTTTTCAAAAGATAACCGAAATGGTAGAAATCGAGTACGCAAAGACAAAAAAATTTAAATTCTAAAACAATTTAATTTTTTACCGAATTTGATGATTAAAATTTTTTTAAACTTTTAACGTTACCCCCAAGATCGATAACGAAAATTTTTAAGTAATGAAATTTTTATATTTTATGAAAAAAATATTTTATTTTAACTTTAAAATATTAAATTAAAATTTTTAAACCGATTTTTATAATAATCATTTATTTTGAATCCGGTATATGGGATGATTTAAAAGTAGAATAAAACTAATTAATTAAAATGTTAAGTTAATAATTTTGAATGCATTACTCTCGGGTCCATGCGACCCTGTGTCATTATTAACGGGTTTTAGACGCTTTCAGACCGTTTTATCTAAATGTCAACAATGTTTTTATTCAAATTTGTTTTTTTTTTGCTTTCATTTTTTTTTCATCAATCGATATCTGCTCAAGAGTTTTCTGTGCTTTAAGAGGTTTTCGGTAACATACATATGTATGTATATATATTTTCATTTCATATTTCATATTTCTACAATATTCCCCATAATCTTTATAAAAATGTGTTTCAATCATGGTGAAAGGCTATAAAAATTATAACTCCATTTCATACCAAATTCCCGAGATTTGTCTAAAACATCGTGGGCTTGAAAGCATACAATCTCCACACCATTCTGTAACATAATGTGCTTGGAAAAATAAAACCCTTTTAGCCTGTAATGTGCTTTAATACAGAAAATCACTTAACTAATAATACAATGCAGATAATGACGTATATTTTTAATAAAAATAAATATTTTTTTAAGTTTTTAATTAAAATTACTGTCAGAGTCATCATCCAGTTGTATAGTATTTTGTATGAAAAATAATCTGTTCTTTACGTGAAGGACATTAAATATTCTATAAAAAAATCCTGATCGCAACATTCTCAACCTCTCATTATAGAAGTACGTATGTACATATATACTATACTTATATTTTTTATATAGTTTCGCTAAAATTAGTTGTTGTTGTCTTGCTAAAAAAAACTGTAAAAAAAAAACTCGTCTACACTTTCCCTTTAACCTGTAAATAAATCGTTTGGCGGTACATATTACCAACTGTAATCAAAAATGCTCCGAAAACATGCATACTTAAAGGCGCTGGACCTGCTAAACAAGCATATATTATGTACATACACACACACGTGCACAATCATTCACTAGTTTTTGTTGTTGTTTTTCTTTGATGAAGTTTTTAAATGCTTACTAAAAAATTTATTATTAATTTGTTATAAAAGAATACCCGATTTGTTTTATAAGCTAAAATATTTTTTTCTCGAAATTTCTAAAATATTATTTGCTGTTAAAAAGTCACAATTTTGAGCACTGACATTGTCAGTTTAGTTCCGTAAAGTAATTCTTATTAAATTTTATTAAAAATTGGCTAATATTAGTGAATTTATTTTTTACTTAT